AACACAAAGACACAGGCAGACACACAGAGTAAGAGAGACGTGGGTGAATCCAGGACCCCTCGAGCTAAGTCCTCTTTCACAAGCTGTCCCAAGAGAAAGAGAGAGCATCACTTCCAGACCAGCTTAAGGAAATTTCCAGATGGCAGAGAGTCTCAGGGGTCAACTGACATTCCCCTTTGTGTGGAGAATGACAGGGGACAAATAGCTGCCCCAGAAGAAGTATAAAATGCTATTATCTGAGGAAATGTCCTGCGTCCAGCACGGTCACCCTGAGGTTGCCAGAGACCATGATGTGTCTGTTTTCCAGAAGCCCAGGGCTGGGAACCAGGTTGTCCCACCTGCTTCTGCGCAGATGTGTGTGTAGTATACACACACCACATTCACACACACACACACACACACACACACCTTCCTCTGTCTACTTCTTCTTTGCCAATAAAACTTCTAGACCATGCATGGCCTTGGCCCCTAGAGAGAAAAACGCCTCTTTTTTTCTCTAGTAGAAGAAATCAGAGCAGCTTTTCGGGCAGTGACGTCACTAAGCCTACTCTGTTCCCCCCCAGCCCTGCGCCCTGTGAGAGGCAGCCTGTCTCCATTCTTCCAGGGGACACAAGCACCTGTCCTCAGCCTCTGGCGCTCATCATGGTGGTGCCTGTTCCCGATGTCAGTGGGAGGTGAAGAATTCCCTGGAGGGAGTGGGCCCGGGGCAATGCCCTGCAGCCCCTGCTCTGGGTCACCCTCCACTCGGTAACCGGCCGCCAAAGTAGCAGCCCATGTCCACCAAGAACAGAAAGGCAGCTGAGGCTGGAGTTCCACGGAGAGGCCTGGAGCCCATCATCCCTGGGTTCCAGTCCCAAACGGGCGACTCGCGGACTCTGGTTGCTTTTCGGCAAGCTGCTAACCCTCCCTGGGCTCTTCTTTCCACAGGATCATGACCCATAACACAGGCTTTTCGAAGGAGTCAGGGCCCTCCTGTAGGCCCTCAATGGAGGTTTCTTCCCTCTTCTCAGAACAGGGGGACTGCGGGCCGGGGGACTGATTGCTGACCTTAGGGGTCCACATCCCTGGAAGGAAGCCTGGACCCTTTGGGTAAAGAGATCCCTCCGTACGCTCACTGTCCCATCTGGACAAGGTGGTTGGGTACCAACCAGTGAGCGCGGGTATGTTGCCATGACAACCAGCAGGCGGGCACGGGGTGGGTGGGGGATGCTCAACTGGCTGACTGTTCTCTAAGACTCTGGGTGCGCTGCTGTGAGTTTTGTTTTTTTAATTCCCTTTTTAAAAACAAGTTCCTCCTTCTCACCTGGACAGACAGAAGGCATTTCTCTTGTCATTGAAACATTGAGGGAGAACTGATGGCTGGTGTCAGTCCTTTGAATCTGGCCCTCTGCCAGAGGCGCCCATGGCCACCTGTGGACGTGTCCCCGCGCTTTCCCTTCCCCTCTGCTAGAAAGTGAGGGGTTGGCCTGGAAAAGCTCAGAGAGCGCCTCTTTCCGGGATTTACACCCAGGAGTAATTCATGTTCCAGAAGCAATGAAAGGAAATATGAATTTCCTGGGCTCCTTCCAAACACAAAGCTGTTCTCAAAAGCTTAGCCCTGGGTGACAGGGCCGGGACCGGGGAGGAGCACAGCCTGGGCAAGCAGGGGCACGTGACGCATCTGCCTGTCCCCAAGTCTTAAAAAAGATGGGGCTGGAAGCGCCCCGAGTGGGGAAGGAATGCCCGCAACACCTTGGGGAGGGTAAGGACCCAATGGACCCAGAGAGCCCTGCCAACCGGTGGTGCAGGGGGTGGGCAGCGGCGCGACCTGCTCTCACTCCTGTGATCAGGAGGCCTCCGAGCTCTCTGGCGGAGCACGAAACCGAGACACAGAGGATCCAGCTACCCACTCATCCACCTAAGTGCCACCTGAACCCACCCTACCCTCTGTCTTGCTGAGATGCCCGCTTTGCTGGGGGCCGTGTTCCTGGGTTCCTTGCAGGTGTCGAGGAACCATGTGACACAGTCTGACCAATGGAGGACAGAAGTCTCTGGGTGGAGCTTCCGGGAAGGAGGGCAGGTTCAGCTTGTTCATCTTCCCTCTTCCTACCTTGGAACCCAGATGAAAAATCGGAGGTAGGGCAAGCACCTAGGGCCGTGAGGTAAACACAAGGAAAAGGAAAGAGAGCTATAGAATCCTTGGCTCTGGGGCGCCTGGGTGGCTCAGTCGTTAAGCGTCTGCCTTCGGCTCAGGTCATGATCTTGGGGTCCTGGGATCGAGCCCCACATCAGGCTCTCTGTTCAGCAGGAAGCCTGCTTCTCCCTCTCGCACTCCCCCTGCTTGTGTTCCCTCTCTCTCTGTGTCTCTCTCTGTCAAATAAATAAAATCTTGAAAAAAAAAAAAAGAATCCTTGGCTCTGACATCCCTGAGCTGAGCAAAGGATGCCAATAACTACCTGGCTAGATTTCTCAGGATGAGGGAAAAGCAAAGTCCCCGGCTGTTTAAGTCAAAGCTGGTGGGAGGAGGGATTCTGAGATTCTGGGCTGAATCTAGGGATTTCCCACCACCATCTTCTGAGAATAGCTAACATCTCAAGCAGGACAGGGGATTCCAGGGCTAACTTCCCCTTTTATGGTTGCAGGGACGGTGACAGGGCGCTCATTCAAGGTCACCCAGCTGTTAACAGCAGAGCTCCATCTGCACCCTGTCCAGCACTGAGCACTGTCGCTCTGTCACCTGATGCGGTGAGACCTATCTCCTGCTCCGGACCTAACTCCTTGTGTCACTGGGTGGACAGGAGCTGCTGGGACCTCAGTTTGCTCCCCTGCAAAATGGGCACAGGTTGGAACAAGACAGTCTATAAAAACCCTTCCACCTCTGACCATTTGGAAAACCAGGTAATTTAGCATTTCCTACTCCATTTTGCTTCCCTTGAAAGTTCGATCTGGTAATTCATCCCATTATCTGCTTTCTGGGCTTAGCTTGCATCACCCATGTACTAAACTAAGGAAAGTGATTTTTGATTGGGAACATCTTCATTTTAAACCGCCCCCCCCCAAAAAAAAAGAAAGGAGGCGGCCAAAATTGAGTTTGCTGAGGGGATGGGTATCAGGTGCAAGGAAGTCAAACAGGTTTTTCTCGAATGACCAATGGATTGATTGGCAGCAGCTGCCTGGAGTGGCTTTTTTTTTTAAAGATTTTATTTATTTATCTGACAGAGAGAGACGCAGCGAGAGAGGGAACACAAGCGGGAGAAGAAGCAGGCTTCCCGCGGAGCGGGGAGCCTGATGTGGGACTCGATCCTAGGACCCTGAGATCATGACCCGGAGCCTGATGTGGGACTCGATCCTAGGACCCTGAGATCATGACCCGAGCCGGAGGCAGACACTTAACGACTGAGCCACCCAGGCGCCCCATGCCTGGAGGGGTTCTGAGAAGGACTCTGAGGCCCATTTGGGCTGGAGAGGGGGAGGGGAAGACCTCAGTAATCTACGATCAATGTCTGCCCTGGATGCAGTAAGAGCAGTAAATGTCGGTGTATTTAGGGCTGGGCCTGTGCTGAGCTCTCAGTTCACGGCCTCGCCACCTCTCCTGTACTGCCCCAGACTGGTGACGGTCAGACTGGCTGAGAAGAGTGGGGTGGGGGGAGGCCCGCTGGAGTAGCTGAGTTCCCATGAGAGAGGGAATTAGGGCACAATCCCGGCTGGGCCAGGGACACAAGAGGCTTACTGGACATCCCTGTGCCGCCACCAGCGTGAGCCGCTCCTCAGGATTCACAGAACACCCTGGACCCCTCACCCCCCGCCCCCCCAAGGCACAGTCTCCCTTCCTCCCTTGGGGGTCCCTCAGTGCCCCTGCTCTGGGGACTAACAGTGGGCAGGAGGTGGGGAGGGGCAAGAGCTTATCCTAATTCTTGGCCAAATTGATCGATAGAATGTTTATTTCCAACTCAGAAAATCTCCAGTGGGGTAAAGTGGGCTTCTCAGTTTGGTATTTCCAACCACAAATTTCTACCATGACCCATGGCTGCAGATGAATAATTGTGTCAGGAAGAGAAGTGACAATAAACATGTAGCATCTGAGGGCTTGCACATCCAGAGCAAAGAGCCCGGAGCAAAGAGATGAGGTGGTGAGAGATGCAAGTGAGTCCAAAAGGCTTCCTCTGTACCCTGGAGGGGGGTTGAGGTGTCAAACACACTCGCCTCTGGGGTTTTTCATGGGATTCAACAACCTCAGCTGAAGTCCCCACCCTGTGCTGGGCAGCGGGCTTATCCGCGTACCAGCCATGCCTGGGACCGCGCAGGAGGACAGAGAGCTGCCCAGCCTGCGGCGGGGCAGGAAGCCCTGCTTCCCCGCGCAGTGGGAAGTAACTGGTGTGAAGGTGTTTGCAGAGGACCCTGGGGTCTCTGCCCCCCCCAACCTGGGGGGTGACCCTGTGCCGATTCTAGGACGAGAGCAGCAGGGAAGCCCATGTGCGAGCTGGTCCTCCCGCCGAGTGGAGGGCAGAGCGCCCACTCACTGAGATCTCCCTGCACCCCGGCAGAGCCAGCCCGAAGCCCTGTCGGGGAGGTGAAGTTAATGTCACTCCCCGAGAACTGTCGTGGGGATTAAACGAAATATGGCTCCTCCGGCGCCTACCAAGGGGCCGGGCACCTGCAAGCACCAAATGGAGGGCACTCTTGTTTTGGAGGCCATTGTCCCCTCTGCTCCGAAGCGGAGCTCCTCCTGAGTCTCCCCTGCCATCCACACCCACACATCCTACCCCTCACCCTCGGGTCCTGCATGGGCCTTTCCCCGCGAGGTCAGACTAAGAGAAGGGGCACAGGGTGGGGGGCAGCTGAGGAGGGGACCGGCACCTTTGGTCATATTCAGTTTTCCTCTCCCCCCTCCTCCCCTCTCCCTCTCCTTCCTGCTCCCATACTCCCCCCTCCCCTTCTTCCTTCTCTTCCTCTTTCCTTCTCTCTGTCCGTCTGTCTGTCTGTCTGTCTCTCTCACACACACACACAAACACACAGAGCTGGGCCGGGCCATGATATTCACATTTCTTTCCACGACTCTCACTCTGGGCACAGAGGAAAAATAAACACACAAGGCCCCACTGGGGCACCTTTCTCAAATGGCACTTGAAAGCTCTTTGCGGTTGTTGTTCAGGAAGCTGGAAAGTCATAAAAATCATAACTGTCTGCATCCACTTTAAGCAGAAGAGATTACACTTGAAAAGCACCAGCAAGTGAGCTATTATTTCACAACTGTATTTATAGGAAAGTAATGAAAATATCAATTCTCTTTTAAAAAAGTTATGCAAACAAGCAGGCTCTATGGCCTCCTTATCAAAGTTTAAAAAATATGCAGAGACATTCTCCACCCCACCCCACCCCACCGCCGCCATCAGCCTGCACACTGCAGATCCCCCCTTCCCGACGTGGGCCACAGGGGACACAGCAGCCTTCGCCTGGAGCACCTGCTCCTTGATGGAGCTCCTGACATGGGGCCGGGGGGGGGGGGGGAGGGTCCCGCTACAGTGAGCCAGAGGGTGGGGGTGCCTGGCTCTGTCTGGCTTCCTGCTCTCACTGTGGGGCCAAGGCTAAGTTCCTCCCCTCTCTGGGCCTCAGCCTCCCGGCCTGCAAAGTGGGAGAGTGGGAATGGAGATTGCTCGAAGGCCCTGCCATAGTCTGACCTTCCAGCGGCCGGACCCACACGGCCCAGTGAGCACCTGGGCTTGGCCAGCTTGGGCCCAAGGCCTTGGCTCACTCAGCCCTGATTTTCCACGGCAGTGGTCCCTGGAGAATGGTCTTGTGGCTCGTTTCCTGGTATCTGGAGAAAAGTGTGCTTTCTGAGTGCAAACCAAGACCTCTTCTGGGCAGTACCATTTTCCTGCCTGTGAATGCCCAGCTCCGCTGAGTTTCAGGGAAGCCTGGGTTCGGGCCCTCCTCCGCCACTGGAGAGGGCGGGGCCGAGTGTGCAGGAGTGCTGCGGGGCGGGGCTTGGTGCCACCAGTCAGGACCCTCCTGGATCCTCCGTTTCTCTCCCTTTACAGGGCCTTTTTGGGTCTGGACACTTTATGATCCCAAAGGCCTAGAGGACCCCGTCTTGGTCTCCTGCAGACGAAATCAGTTTGTAAAGAATGGGCACTAGGCGTTTTCTGAAAGGACACTTAGTGTTGATTAAGGAAAAACATGATCCAGTTATAATGCACTTAGGAGCCATCCAGAATTCCCTGGGGAAGAAGGGACATGTTTCTGGCCTCAGGGCCCAGCACAGGGTCCCCCGGCTCCTCCCCAGGGGCTGCAGGGAGATTAACAGCCTTGCCCTGCCCAGAGGGAGCCTCATTTGGGGTTTGGGGCGGCCCGGGCCATGGCCTCTTGTGAGGCCATGTGTGGGACACTCTGGGCCCAGAAGACCCGCCTCTCTCTGAAGTCCCTTCTTGCGGGAGGAAGAGGCAGAGCCCTGCAGACAGGCTCAGCCCTAAGGTCCGTCTCTGATCCCTGTCCTGGACCCTTGATCCCTGGTACCTGACCTCCCAGATGCATCCCTTCTGGCCCTTCAGCTCGAGTCGCAGACCAGGAAAAAGCAGAGAGCAACAGAAGGGATGCATCTTCCCGGGGGTGATGCACACAGCGCACTCCCCATTCTGCATGAAGACCCCCGCGACCGAGTTTCTCGCCTTCCCTTCTCCTTGCACACAGCACGTGGGGCCCCAGCTCAGCGCGCCTGCGGATCAGTGTCATGGCCACGGACCTCCACTGTGGCTCTGTGCTATCGGAGGCTGGGGGGGGGGTTGCGGTTAGCGGTCCCTCCCCCACCCATGGAGCCCCCATGCTGTGTGCTGTTTCAATGCTCTGGGTCTCCTCGTTATAGCTCTTTTCCTTCCTTGATATCACTCTATCACTTGTCACTTGTCACTGCTGTCACCAGGCCCGCCTTCGATAATCACCACTTCTGCTTCCAACCCACAGCGTCTAAGCTGCTGTCCTTTGTCCTCACTGTGCCTAAAGCAAGAGTAACTGGGCGCCGAGTGAGGGCCTGTGTGGCTCTTCCATGTCCGCAGCTCAGGGGTCTTCTAACAGCTGGGCTCAGGGCTCAGCTTCCGGGCAAGCAGTGGCCATAAGTGACATGTTATTTGCTCCTGCTTTTCAGGGCGCGGGTTGGGGGGGAACTGCAGACCAAGGCAAAATGCCACCCAATCCCACTGGACCCTCAAAGTGCTAGGAATTCCGCCGCCCCACAAAGAGACATCATATATGAAACGATACAGACTAAGCATCTACATACAGAGGCTATAAAAATTCTATCCACCATCCCCTAGTCACACACAGGACAGCTTCTGTATAAATAGACTAAGACGACACCGTATAAAAAGTGGTTTTCTTTGGAGAACGTCAGTAGAGTATGTGTCCGGCGGCCGCCTGCCTCCGCAGCCCCAGAAGCAGTGCTGGGGCGGGCGGAGGGTCGGAGAGGGGCCACCTGGGGTCAGGTGGGCGGCGGGCCGCTGTAGCGGAGCATGAGCCTGAAGGAGCGGGCGAAGTTGTTGACCATGGAGCAGCTGCGGCTGTCCTCCCCAACAGGGAGCAGCAAGAGCAGCAAGAGTAAGAACAGGAGCTGCAGGGGGAGCGCCACGCAGCACACCTTCGGGAAGAGGGAGCCGAGTCCTCGCCACCGCGCCGGCCACCGCGGACTCTGCAGAACAAAGGCAGGTGTGAGTGGGCGCAGGGGCCCTGAGCGGGAGGGGAGGGCAAGGGGGACACTAGGCAAGCAGTGGCCCTGGGCTGATTGTCTGACCGTGTGGGTGTCAGTTTGTCCGACTGTGAAGTGGGGCTAATGTCAATTTTGCCAGAAACAAAGATCTCTGGTTTTCTCAAATCATTCAGGGTATGAAAGGTACCACCACGTTTATCACCATGCTCTTCACCATCACTTTCTCCTCCTCCTTCATCACCACCTTCACTGTCAACGCCACCAATATCACCCAAAGGCCAGTCATGCAGGTCCAAATGCCTAATGAACTTCCTTGCAGCAACATCCGTGAAAGTGGCCAAAAGACATTTCCTAAAGTCTAGAGGGACTGGTTGGGTTGTGGCCTCATGGGATGTCCTCACTGCCAAAGAGTGCAGGCCCAAGAGCGCTGGCGACTCAGGGAAGTAGAGGTCCCGTGGCCAAAATACAGCATGGTGCAGGGCAGAGGCCTACCTCTTAGGAACCTGGCTGACTAGGTTCTATCGCAGACTCTGTCACACAGTATCTATGTGACCTTGGGAGAGTCAATAACCTCTCTGGGCCGTTTCCTTCTCTGCAAGATGGGGATAAAACACCTACCCCTATTTGTCAGGCTGTAGAGAAGACTCAAAGTATATTTATATACCAATTTAAAAGTATATAAGCTTTTATTAGTAGGACTATTACTGTAGAATATATCTTTTGGCCCCCTGAAGAACCAAAGGGTCACCCTCCGGGAATCCAAAGCTACAGTCAAGTGATGGTGAGGATGATGGTGAGGATGATGGTGATGATGGTGGTGGTGGTGGTGGTGGTGGTGGTGGTGGTGATGACAATGGTGAGGATGATGATGGTGGTGGTGGTGGTGGTGGTGATGATAGTGATGGTGATGACAATGGTGAGGATGATGATGGTGGTGGTGGTGAAGATGATGAGGATGATGATGAAGATGATGGTGGTAGTGATGATGGTGGAGATGATCATGGTGGTGGTGGTGATGGTGATAGCATGATGATGATGATGGTGGTGGTGATGGCAATGACAGTGATGATGGTGACGGAGATGGTGATGTGCTGGTGATGGTGAGGAGGCTAACGATGATGATGGTGAGGATGGTGATGTGAAGGTGATGATGGCGGTGGTGACGGTGATAGCATGACAATGATGGTGGTGATGGCAATGATAGTGAGGACGGTGAGGATGGTGGCAGTGATGGTGATGTGAAGGTGATGGTGGTGGTGACGGTGACGATGGTGAAGGTGATGGTGGTGGTGGTGACGGTGACGATGGTGAAGGTGATGGTGGTGGTGATGGTGACGATGGTGAAGGTGATGATGGTGGTGGTGACGATGGTGAAG